CCTGACCCAATCAAGGACACAGAGGGTCCTATGGAGGATTGCAATGGTTCATCAGCACAATTTTTTCATTGCTTTTGTAATGCTAAACATAAGCCAGAGGTCCTTCGGGCAGCCAATTTAGAGTCACAGCAAAAATTTAAGGAAAGCTGACCAAGAAGCACTTATTATTACATGTATTTGTTAACAGGTCTAACATAACATATTCTCACTTTGATAGGGTACAAATTGATATCACATCAACAGACACTTGATTATAAGTAAAGACAAATATGCAACTATTTAATTTTTCTTCATCAATTACTGCTTGCACAATAAAAAAAACAAATATTTCAAAGACTGAGACTGTCAGACAGATAGAGGCATAAGGAATAGCATATTGTTCAATAGAAGGCAAGAGAAAAGCTCAACATACTTTCAAAACACGCATGCATAGATTCTAATGCTGATATTAGTAGGGAAAACACATAGCAAGATATTTTTTCCATTTATATTTATTATGTCCCTAAAATTATAGCACTGCCAGTAAAACACATTTAGGCAAAATAAGCATTTATTTCTACAGTTTTTCCGACATGGGAGGGAGAAAGAGGGTTGTTGCATTTGTTTCCAGTTACATCAATTTGTTGTGTTGATTGTGACGTGATCATCATGTATGCTCGTGATCATCATGTATGCTCGTGATCATCATGTATGCTCGTGATCATCATGTATGCTCGAGAGAGAGATCAGAGAGAGAGCATATGTATACTACTTACATACACCACTCCCTCCATGCCCAGATAACCCACAAACCCACTTACAGTGTCAGGCATGGCTCCCAATTATTCCCAAAGAAAAATATTTTTAAATGTACTGAATATGAATAAAATCACGATAAGAATTAGTAAATTGGTAAATTGAAGTTTGATAGATACCTTATGTTATGTAAATTTTTGTATACGAAAAAATAATTATTAATCATTAATTTTTGTAAAAACAAAACAGTATTTTCGATATTTTTATACAAACATAAATTTTCTTAGTGAAAATTATGTCCAATAATCTAAAAAAATTTCAAATAATACAAAGTGATATGTACCAAAAAATTATACATTTAAATAATTATTATTTTGATAGCTGCATTTTGTACAAAAAAATTAAAGGATACAAAAACATGAAATATAGTAGTTCATGTTTCATCGAATATGGTGATTATTGCCCATAAATATAGAAACCATATCGTGAAATTTGCATGTTCTAATAATGATGTTACACATTATGTTTGGGTCTCTTTTGTGAGAAATAGTTGTCAATACACAATAAATAAACAGTCTGGTGAAACAGCGATCATTGAAAATTTCTGGTAAATGCTAACTGGTGGCAACAGAGAATGAAAAAAAATACCAATTAAATGTCTTGCTATGTGAATTCACATTCTAATCGAAACCAGTAAGTACTTTGGTAAGAACCTAATTACATGATGGTTTTGTTTTAATCAATAACATGAGGATGTCTTTGTTGCATTAATAAAAATCAATTAAAGAGACACTTGTCGTTTTATCACTATGAAGGTCTTTTCTTTCTATCAAATCAAGCAAGGAAAGTACAATTTAAAAAAATTCAAAGATATGCTAATAGCAGCATAAGTTCTTGTAGTCTTTGCCGTTCTCAAAATTCATTTTATTTGACCAAATGAAAATGGTTTCACATTTTTATGCACTTAACATCACTAAAATATATAATATCAGTAATGTATCCTAATCATTTGTAAATGTGAATATGGAGGGCAAAGGAAGTAAGTGATAGGTGTACTCAGTAACTGAAAAGCTGTGCATCATAGATAGGATTCATAAGGAAGTGAGATCCAACATTTGCAATGACCTCAACAATTGCCGAGTCCACATTTAGAGGTTGGCTTAAGGATAAGCAGAAACTTCAGGATTATTTACACAATGTTGATTCAGCTAATGGGATCAAACAAAAATGAGCACAAACTGCAAAAGGTAACAGAATTAGATGATGATGTATATGCATGGTTCACACAGCAACATGAAGGTGCTCCCATTTCTGAAACAAAAAGGTCCAAGCAGAAAAATATGGCAAAAAGTCTCATTTTAGGGCAAGCTACTGATGGCTTTTGAGATTCCAGCATCAACATAGAAGTAAACAAAATTTATTGTCATAAGAAATACGTTCAGCTAATCAGGAAGCCGCATGTAATTATCCATACCAGCTCAGAGATATGATCATCCATGAACAAGACACAGAGGCGGCAGAGAAACCAGAGCAACAAAAAAAAAATGAACAGATGTTTTCAAAAAGTGAAGCGATATTTGTTAAACATGTCACAAACTGCAAGTATTATCATGTTCTAATTTACTTTTTTTTTTAAATCTGTAGACCCATCAAATTCATGTTGGCAGTGGTTAAACCTTGTAAAAAAAAAATAATTTAATTTTACTTCTACCACAATCAAATCTACCCATTGTTAGAGTGACATTGTTTTCTCAGAATGAGTGTTGATCTTTTGTATAAAACAAAGTCTACTTTGGATTAAACAATAAAACTAGAATTTATCCAAATCAACATAAAAATTTGTGACATTGTACACAATGTGTGAAGTTGTACATGTGTTAAGCAAAGGGAAACCATGTGGAATAATGTTTTGATGATCTCCTCAATATACTGTGAGTTTTCCTGAAATTATTGTTACTCTGTGAGGAAAAAAGAAACCAAAGTACACCGATATGAAGATATATTTATTCCCACTTAATCTTAGCACGATTATTAACACTAACATGCCAACCCAACCCACCCACTTTTTTGCCTCTATGTCGACCTCTTTGTTAGTTTTGTTGTTTGTTATAGGTCGCTCAATAATTCGCCCTCGATTATAACTCAGTTGATGTTTTTAGACCCCATTTTCCACGAGTTATTGAGAGAATTGTGTAACTTCTTACATAAATACAAGTGACACGGCTTTCTGAGTCATAAATTGTCTTTAAAATAACTAAATCTACAAGTTGCATCTAATTCACAATGCCATGGATTGTAAAAATCAAAAAACAAAGTCCATCACATGTGAAAACTACTAGAGACAATGAAATAAGTAAAATGACATTTAGTTACTGACCAGTCTGCCAACTAATTAAGCATGTTTTTAAATGGTGACCATTTTGAATGTTATATAAGAACTATTTAAAAACTATACATTCAGAAGGAGTAGCAATAACAAAATTCTTAATCTGTCAGCAGTAGCAGCCATATTGGATATGCATGTGAGATCATTCTGATTAGGACCAACCAGAGTCATTTAGAGGTCAAGACTTAAAACTGTTTGATATGATTAGCCTTTCAGTGAAAAATCCCATGCCAATACAACCATCTAAACTTAAGAATTAGTGATAATAAAAGCCAATGTCTGGTACCCATACTGATTGGCACAAGTCTCATAAAAGATCACCTAAACATTATGAGAAGTCTTTTCTTGAAACCCTATTTCAAATATCACCAGCCATTTAGAAGTAAAGATTTTTCAGATGGTCATTCTGGCACCCATTGGTCATGTCAGATGCAATATTTTAATTAAAACAAAGCAGAGAAATTGCCAGACTTTTACTTTCGGGGAGGGGGATCACCCACCTCATGACACCAAAATAAGTAGGGGTAGTGTAGGAAATTGCCATAACTCATTGCATACCAATACTTAAATATCCATCTCTTTCTTCCTGCTCCACTCTGGTCTCTATAGAAATCAAAATCATTATAACATTCCCCTTCTAGTTGTATAAGCAATTATCTTTTCATTAATTTTGCATAAATATTGTTCTTTGCTGAGAACCCCTTTTTAACAACCAGATATCAAAAGGGCAAATGCACAGCTTGGGAAGCTGTTCTTTATGGTTGTTTTGAAGAATTTTTCACAGTTCACAGTTACTGTCCCACACATAGCTAAATTGCTCCAAAATGCCTTAAAATTCAAAAACAAATTTCTTATTTAATTGGATTATTTTACCCATAATATCTGCAAGTATTACACAACATACATTCCATCTTTGCACTGTGTTATAATTGAATGCAACAGCCAACACTTCTAAAACTTTTCATAGAATTTTGTTCTCTGTTTTCATGTGTTATAAATAGTGGGATTTTCTAGGATCTGTTATGTATTAACCTACATCTGTATCCTTTAGAACTGAGATTTGTTTTCATCTATATACTAAGTTAGGTGACATCTTAACTATTTATGGTAACAATGCAAAGTCTGGTTTATCCAGTAATTTTGGTGATAATGGTAATTACAAACATCACAACTTTAAGGTAACATTGCAAAGTTTGGTTTATCCAACAATTTATGAGGTTATGGTAATTACAAGCATTTCCACAACTTTATGGTAACAATGCAAAGTCTGGTTTATCCAGTAATTTATGTGGTTATAGTAATTACATGCATATCCACAACTTTATGGTAACAATGCAAATTCTGGTTTATCCAGCAATTTAGGTAATAATTACAAACATCACAACTTTATAGCAACAATGCAAAGTCTGGTTTATCCAGCAATTTAGGTGGTTATGGTAATTACAAGCATCTCCATAACTTTACTGTAACAAGGCAAAGTCAAGTTTATCCAGCAATTTATATAGTTAAGGTAATTACAACCATCTCACTGCAATAGAGATGTGGATTGCTCCAAACAGTTGAGTGTCATAAGATTAAGTATATACCTACAACATACAACAAACTAACCTAACTGGGACACTAATTTTAAATGATATCATACATGGAGAATCTAAGCTTTCATGTACAGTATATAAAAAGAATCCTGTGAATGGAGATTTTGTTCAACATCACCCCATCCATTATTAAGTCCTACAAAAAAATAAACCAAAAATTGTGGTTTGATTTGCTTGGATGTTTTATGGCATGGTAAGACAATAAGATTATTTAGTGTCAAGGCAATTGCAGAAAAGCATCTTGCCTATGGAAAACATAATGTACACCACAGTAGCCGACTGGTTGATCATGATAGGATTCGAACCAGTGCCCTTTCCATTAAAAGTGAAGCATGCTAACCACTTAGCCAAGGCACTTCCTTGTCAATACGGAGCCTTTTGCACAAAAGCAATGTATCATTACATCTGTCAAATCCAAATTCAATAATCAACTTCATTATCAATTTGTGTAGGAAAAACCTCAATCATTTCCATTAATGAAAATCAACTGTGCTTACCATATATACCTGCTAATAACATACCAAAATCCAAACAGTTTAAGACTCAGAAGTGATGCCAAATAATTCACCAGCAAATTATAAGGTCCATGATTATTTATTTCAAGACAACGGTATATATTCTGATGTGCATTATGCAATAACAGACAGGAACCACATCCATGTTGTTTCCAGTTTTGTACATTATTCACAAACTTTGAAAATATTTACAAATACTAAATACAAGGAAAAAAAGGTTCAACATAATGTGTTCATAACAATAATACTAATACTAATCTAATCTAATAATGTAATGCTGAATATCTGTCCATATTCTCTATACAGTACCAATAAAACTATTATAATTGAATTGTTGACTCAAATCTACCAGTATAGTTTGAATCAGATAATCTCAGTGGTAAAGTGCTAAATATAGAAGTGAGAGAACTCAATAAAGAATTGAGGGAATGTATGTTACTCAGATATAAGAGGGCAATCGTAAGCACTAAAAAGAGGATGTGCAAAAACTGTTCCCACATGTTTCCACACAACACCCCTGGATAATCTAGATCTACTTAGATGCTGTGATAAGTGGGTGTATATGGTATAAGAGAATCAATTCAACTACATTCAGTATTTCCAATCAATATCATGCCTCTGGCCAGACAAAAGTATATTAATAGTACATCCTAAAGTATGTGCACCATACCAACTGTTAATTTAGCACACTAATGAGTGGATGTGATGAAAAGAAAAGCATGAGCACTACTGAATAATGAATACAAAAATTAGAAGTTTTAAGTGAAAAAAGGCTTCATACAACATCAGTGAAACCTAGCAGTAATGAAAATGTCACTAATGGTAAATGAAAACATTTGTTCAAATCTAGGTTTAGATTTGAGGGTTTGTTTTCCCTGGGCAAGCTTAATTTTGTACAATTTTTAGCATTGTGATAGTACAGCTCTCCTTATTATAACACACCTCATTATAATGCAATTCCAGATATAACACAGTACTACTATGACACCCTGTGACCCAAATCATACAGATGAAACCATTAAGGGTTGAAAGAAAACAAGGTGAAACATTTTCTTTTCAGAACACAAATTTTAACACCACTTGCTATAGTTCTGTATGTTATGCTATTCTCAATATATCTCTCTCAAATATATATATATATATATATATATATATATATATATATATATATATATATATATATATATATATATATATGGGTGCCATTTCTCGTGTACCTGAGTTCAAAACTCTGTAGAGTACAAATTTAATTTCTCTAACCTGTATGATAGAATTGTTTTTATTAAACTATACAGTGTAATGCAATATGGTATGTAATGTTAGAGGTTATGGACCCTGCCTACCATATTTTAACAAGGGAGAACCAAGGGAGAGCTGAAGTAGCACTACATATACATGTGTTGTTGGTGTTTGTCCTTTAAGTTTAAAGTTGATTTAATTTACAATGTCCACATACCTCATGCCATCTGCCTTCACAGCTGGGAGATGAGCATATATGCTTGGCATCCTGATTCTCTTGGGGTGGGGGATGTTGCTGTACACTCTGGGTCAACAGTTACAGGTAGTAATATCTACTGTGTAAACTTACGGTAGCAGGCATAGCCCAACTTTTATTAGCAGCAGAAGTAGTAGTCTTAGTAGTGGTGGTGGTAGCATTAGTACTTAAAAATAGTGCTATATGTATTAATGGTAGTTGTGCTAATAATAACAGTAGCAGTAGAAGCAATTGTAAAGCAGTAATACCAGTAGTGGTAACTTGATGAACCACTGCTATGGGAATCCACCAGTTTTGAGATTCAATATTTTTAGTTATCAGATAGTGTGAAAACCAATGCTGAAAGACTACCCAATATCTTAAGGGATTACATTTCTCTGTGTTTTTCAAGATAGGTTTGACTGTAGCAACAGTACAAGTGATCTACTATGATAGTCTACACTATCTCTCTGTACATCTGTTTATGTGATCAAGGAAATCCTGAATTGAAGATCAGGAAATTATCAAGTACATCAAATGATGTCTAAAGTGATCCTCATTGCTGATATGTATATATAAGAGTATAAGAATGCTATATATAAGTATAAAAATAAATCCATACAGGTTTGAGAAATTTTAATTCATCCCTACTGAGAATCAAAACTGAGATCACATTTTAAGGCACCAATCTTGAATGCACATATACCCTCTCCTATTATACACACATAACAGACACTCACATGGCAACCAAGTAATAACTTTTATCTAAAAACAGTCAATGCAAATTTTTCTGACAAAAATTTAGGCATACAGAAAATGATATAGAAAATTACAAATGTACACCAGACTAAGTGGAAATTGCTATTCTTTGATCCTAAAGGACCATGTGTGATAATATAAATTGAAATTTTACAGAGAAATAATATCAACATACAGGTTAGAGAATATTTAATTATTCCATTACTGAGATCAAGGAGAGTTGGCAATTTAAAGCACCTATCAACTTGTCAGCATCTATCAGCCCCTATCAGAGTACTCACAGTACTAATTCAGTTCCTATTATAAACCTATGAAAGCATCATCATATTAAAATTTCAATAACTTTACATTTCTGAATGCTCATCATGAAACCCATATTTATCAATATAAATGCATCATGCATTACAGCTTCTTTGTAAAGAAAAGGATATGAATTGTGGCATGTCCTGGACCTAAATTTGTTTGAAGCAAGTGCTTTTGATTCAGCACCAAAGAGTCATGTGCTACTTTCACTTACAAGTATTCTAAACTCGAGACTTAAAAATTGAAATTCCATCCATAAAACAATGTCTCTATTTTTTTCAGTCACAACTAGGATAAGCTCTCAAAAGATTCTTTTTATTTAAACTCTAAACTTCATTATCAACCAATCCTGGCCTGCCAAACCCATATATACTCTATTTCATCTTTGCCCATCCATTACAATATATACAATGGTGCATCATTCTTGTGCAATTGGTCCACAATAAAACTACAGATGATCAGAGGGTGCTCAGTTTTTAATTACATATCTTTATGCATGGATCTTATCTACAGATGTCATATCAATGGACCATTTGCACAATGTTGTTGTCTGCATCAGATATTGTGAAGATGGGAATTAAATAAATTTGCAGATGAATATTATAAATAGGTAAAGATATCGTGTGACCAAACACCAGTTCAACTCAGTTATTCATTAACTAATGCCAGCTTTATTTTGTGAATTCAAATGAATCTCCTTGAACTCTTACCTCAACCCTTAACCTGTGAAGCCAGTCTAGATTTCAAATTGTCAGATAGATTAAAACAAAACTGGCAATCTCAATCATCAGCCAACTTTTGAAAAGTATTGATACTGTTTAAAATAACCTCTATAAATGAATATGTGTACATCTAATTTTGACGAAGTACCATGAGTTAGGGACAGACAATTTACTTGTCAGACAGATGTTTTCCTTTATTCTAAGAAATAAAAATCCAACATAACAGCAAACATCAGAGACTCTCTGTATGATGTCACATTAGTGTTGGAAGAGTTCTGGTTGGCAGAACCACCATGGCAACAAAGGAAGATGATCTATATATGAGCTTAAGCCATGGAAATAACAGTACTAATTGTAGACTCCATACTGATATTGGGTATATAATCTTGGTCATTAAGACTTTTACTTTCCTGATATATATATATATATATATATATAGATAGAGAGAGAGAGAGAGAGAGAGAGAGAGAGAGAGAGAGAGAGAGAGAGAGAGAGAGAGAGAGAGAGAGAGAGAGAGAGAGAGAGAGAGAGAGAGAGAGAGAGAGAGAGAGAGAGAGAGAGAGAGAGAGAGAGAGAGAGAGAGAGAGAGAGAGAGAGAGAGAGAGAGATGTTCGATACATGTTAATTTTCAAAATTTTCATTAAAAAAAATTTCACTGCCACAAAATTTTCCTGGGATAGCATGTATGGGTAATAGCTATGGCCAACTATCCATTCCCTGTCATCATTATGCAGATTAAGGAGAATGTGATGCTAGTTGTTGCCAAGTATTATCATTGAACTTTACAGTTCCATTGTTTATAAAAGATTATTATAAAAGATTATATGCATAAACAGCTGGAGACATCATTGTTTAATTTTGTTGTACTCATTATCAACAATAAAACGATTCAACTTATCTTGGTTCCATTGTGGAAACTTATTTAAATTTTAAATTTTAATTATGTGTGTGAGTATATTGATCTTGATGTGCCTTAATTGCATGACTTATTGTGATCAATGAATATGGCAATAAATTTCAGAATGTGTATGTGTGTGTGTGTATGTATATATATATATGCATATATATATATATATATATATATATATATATATATATATATATATATATATATATATATATATATATATATAAAACTTCTGGTAAACAAATATATTCAATCAAATGTGGAGTAAGCCTGTGGTCTTTTTGTCAACAGGATGAGACCCCCCCCCAACATGATCATGCCAGGTATGATATCAAGGCATTATTTGCTATATGACGAATTTACATTTTTCACAAATCACAGCAAGAGTACTTTTTCTTGATCTCAGAAAAGTAAATGGACAGTCCATAACATTACTGATATTTTACTTAAATATTATACTGATGATGGTTATGATGGTTATGGGGATCATATAGCAAAATCAAAATCTAATTATGCTGTGTAAATTATTCCATTGACTCATCCTACTGTTACTTTTGTAACTTTGTGGTCATGTTTATTCTTTGCTTTATTGTAAAACTGAACTTCTAGTGGATACCTGGTTGTAACTTGATGACATCAAAGCATAAAGTGCCCTGCAAGTGTTCTGGCAACCTTCAGA